TCTTAAAAAGAAACTAGGAAAGTGTATATAGAAACTTTCCATGGGAATGGGTCGTGCTCTGTGCAGAGAGACCCACAATACTGCAGCTATACCATGCTCCTATGCCACTGAATCCAAAGCACAGGAGCATCTGCTCCTAGTCGCCTCCAAGCAGACTCCATGGAAACAAGTTGCTTCTGGAAGCAGGCTTGGGCAGAACCAGAGCTGGACAGAGCATTTTCTCTAATCTGCAGGAATGGCAGGTTTGGAGGGTAATGATTTCCCCTAAAGCGCTCAGGTGAGGACCTGACTGACCGTGATTTGTGTAGAGCCTAATATAGTCCTGGGTCTCTCTGTGACTGATGCCTGCTGTATTTGGCAGCCTCCCGTTAGCTCTTGCAGTGCAGTGATGTCTGGCTGGCTCTCAGCAGCCGGTTAATCTTTCTCTCCGCTACCAGTCTCTTTGCTTCACATTTCCCCCTTTTTGCTTACAGGACTGTTTGCTGCAGCTAGTCCCACCCCTAGTGCCAACTGCATCTGTCAGTTAGAAGTGTGGGGAGTAGACCCCTCCCAGCCCCTCCAGCAGGACTCCCCTTTGCCTGTGACTCGCATGCTGCTTCTGGGGTTTGAACCAGGAACTTTCTGCTCAGCCAGGTGCGCTAAAATTAAGCAGATTGGCAGCTGGCTGAATGAGCTACAACTTGGCTGAATTCTTTGGTGTTGGAGGTGGGGACTCGTGTACCCATAGAGATCACTGATTTGGTATATGGATATCGGTAGTAATACACATGGTCTCTCTTGGGATTGCTTCTCCTGGCACTGAAATGCAGCCAGCTCTGCAGAGGAGCGTGGTGCAGAGTGTTGTTCATTTAATCAACCCCTCACTCTTTGTTCTCCTTTTTTAGGAGAGGTGTACGGTAGGTTGCCTTTTGCAACCGTTTGGGCAGCTGGACAGATGGTACCAAGTTCATCTGTGATGTAATTCCACTGCAGTCAGCGGAGTTACATCAGGGATGAACTTGGCTCAAGATTTCTGGGGAGGGAAATGAAATAATTTCTCCAGTCTCCACTATAGTATCATATAATAGATTTGCAGACTTTCCTCATGCTTCCATTCGCCATCAGTACCCCATTGGGACAGCCTTCCCCCACGTGTCCCAGCCATCCAGCTCAAAGACAGTTCTGCTCCTCTTCGGTGCCTGGAGCTTCTCGCTCCCTCACACAACCCTGAGCATCCCCAATGTTGAGAGGTCAAGAAAAGCAAAGAGCCACTTGGGGTGGAGGCAGGGGAGCCCACATCCCATGTAAACTGCGTCATGAAGGCCAAACCAGCACGTTTTGGGGGGCAGGGGCTGTCTTTTTGTTCTGTGTTTGTACAGCACCTAGCACACTGGGGCTCTAGACTGTGACTGGGGCTCCTGGGTGCTCATGCAATACAGATGATGATGATAAAGGCCAAAAGAAGGCAAATCAAGATACTGACACTAGGATGGCAGGGTATAGACCTGATTGTGTTTCTCTTCTCTTCTCCCACCTTGTGCTCCCCCAAGCTGATCCTCACTAAGGATGATGTCATCTTTGGCTGCCTTAAAAAAATAAATAGGGCCACACACTGCCCTTGCAGCTGCTTATCACCACCAGCAACACTTCCCTGCCATGCAAGAGTAGTGACAAAAAGTGCCAGCAGATGGAATTTGATGGTGGCAGCATTTAATTGTTCAACTGAAATATGATCATGACTGCAAAGGGGTTCAGTATTTGCATAGCACTTCAAAGTGCTTTACAGATGTTAATTAATTTATCCTCTCAACAATTATGTTGGGTAAATTGGGGCTTGCCTACATGAGAAAGTTGCATTAGCTTAACCTAAAGTGTGATTTTTAACTGATGATGATAAACTGGCACTAGCCCCACTGAGGGCATTCTTAGCTTGCTTTCAGAGTGGCTTTTTTCAGTTAGTCTATTGAGAGTAAGTTTAAGCTAAACCAAAATAAGTGTGTCCATATAAGAGTTTGTACCAGTTTAAATACACATTTAAATTAAGCACCTTTTCCATTGAGACCAGGCCTTTGTTTTAATTCCCACTTTACATATGGGAAACTGAGGCAGGGAGGTGAAGTGACTTGCCCAGGGTTGGAAGTGAAGTCTGTGTCAGAGCTCTGTTTAGAAATCTGGAGTCCTGGTTCCCAGACTTGTGCTAGGACCACACCTCTTTAGTGAGCTGGATAGCTGGAGCAGGGTATATTTATGGCATTAAGTCACCCAAGGTTTCTGCAGAGATCTACAGTCTGTAAAACTTCACAGACTAGTTTTCCCCACCCTCCCAGTAATAACTATGGCAATCCAGGCCTTTGCTTCCTGCTCCAGAAGGCTGTAAATCAACTCCCTTAAACTTGTGTGGGAGGAGAACATTTCATGCTGCGAGGAGGTGAGCTGGCCTTGCAAGAGGATGGTTATATAATTCGATTGCCTTTGGGCCATGCTTCTGCACTCCACAGCGCTAACGTGGCTGGGGCCTGAAATTCTCATGGTGCTCAGATGTGGGGAAGCCCCAGTGTATTTCAATGAACCACCCGTCCCCTGGAGAGTTCAATCCACCGAAAAGCTAGGAAAACCCGACTACCAAAAAATATTTCTAGTGGACAGAAAAACCACAGCACATTCATGTGGCTTAAAGGGCAGGCTACTTTGTGGTGGTGAAAGTCCTGTGGGTTATGTATCATTTAACTGCGCAGTTCCTTGCAAGTTTGTGGTTTCTTTTTCAGAGCAATAGGTTTGGAGCAGCATTTCCAAGGCCTTGGTTTGCCCATAGAACCAAAGACTTGGAGAGGCAGGGGCTGTTTTGAGTCTCTTCTGTAGAACCATCGAGGCATTGGCTTCCTGGCAGGGTCAACACTAATAATAAACGAAACAGTCTCGCCTTCTTCCCGCCCAGCCCCCCATTTATTTCAGTCTATTGGCTATAGTCCAGTTTAAAGGACACAGAAATTGAGCTAGTGTAATGGTCTGGCCTGGTTGTTTTCCACCATAAAATGTTGACTTTATTGTGGGAATTTTTTTTAAGTTTATTTTTATTGCAACTCTGCTCTGAAGTTGTGTGTAGCATCCTTCTCCAAAATCCATCAGCATTATGCAAAATGTTACAACTGGGGCTTCTTCCTTTTCTCTTTTTGTTGCTGTTTATCTTTTATGTTAATTACAATCTAGCATATCTAATTTGCATAGTCATCTGTGAAAATGAACCTTTCCTGATGACATCCTTGCTATTCCCCCCGCCCCCACATCCCTCCCTCTGCCAGTGGAGTAAAGGAGTATCCTCCCCATTTCATGGGGGGGAAACACAGGCAAGGAGCTTGAGAATCTTGTATTTTCACAGAAGTCTGTGCTAAGAGTCAGCATTAAGAACTCTGGAGTTCCTGGATCCCTGTCATGTGCTGAGACCACAAGGCCATGTCTCTTGCTTTATTTCTGCCTCGGCCATCCCCCCTCTCACTCATGCGCGTGTGTGCACTGATTGTGAGGAAGACTTTGCTCAGAATTTTGAACTGATGGAAGAACAGACCCAGGATGGCCTGATGGGTCTTCTCCTTTCTAACTTCTACTGGAGCCTGTAGAGTCTTATGGTTCCTGTGGAGTCGTCTTTGTTTGAGAGCACACTTTGCAACATGTTCTTACCCTGTTATCCAAAGGGTGGCGGCATCCACTGCAGTTGAGCTCGCCATGAGCTACGCTCTTTTGGGTTAAAACAAACTGAGGTCAGTGAGAAGGCATTTCCTCTGCCCTTCAGCGCAGCCCGAGCCACTTCGCCATCCTCGCTGTACCGTGCTCCATGTGGTTTGATTTGTAAAATATCTTGCTTTTGTTTCTGTGCCCTGAAAAGTTTTGTCCGTGGAGGCATTGGTTGGGGGATAGGCGCAGATCAGTTAAGTTTCAGTGATTGGGGGCTGGGGTGTATTTTAGCCTGGGCTGCAAGAGCTCCAAGCTGAGTCCTCCCATTTTTATCTCCAGTGTGCAAAGGTGGCTAAGTGATGTGAAAGCTGGGTGGGCTTGGCCAAACTAGTGTCATGAGGGAAGGGCTCTGTTGGGAAACGTTGCTTGGAGAATGGCATAAGCACATGCACCTGCATTTTCTTTTAACCTGTATGCTGGCAAAGATCACGTGGCATGTAGTAGCTGCCCTCTCTAAAGAACAGAGAGAGGCGTGTGAAGAACTCAAGAACAACCCTTAGAATTTACCTACACTGCAGTGAACCACCAGTGGCTGGCCCATGCCAGCAGGGTTCGGGCAAAGGGGCTGTTTAATTGGGGTGAAGATGTTGGGCTCAGGCTGGAGCCCAAGCCGTGGAACCTTCTCCCCTTGAAGGGTCCCGGAGCCCAGGCTCTGCACCACAATTAAACCCGCAATCCCGAGTCAGCTGGCACAGGCCAGCGGTGGGTCTTTAAGTGTAGACAGACCCTTAGTGTCGTTCCAAAGAGGGATGCCACTGATGGCTGCCCCTATGGAAAGGGACCGAAGCTCGCTGTAAGAGGGGTCAGAGAGGAGGAAGGAGGGTTTTGTGGTTAAGGCAATGGACAGGGATTCTGGAGATCAGGGTTCAGGTCCTAGCACTACAACAGGCGTTTTGTTGACCCTGGACAAATCATTTAATCTCCCTGGACCTTTTTCCCCCCCCCGCCCCCTTCTGTGGAACAAACATTTCCTTTCTCCCACCCTTGATCGTGTCTATTTACATTCCAAATTAGGGCAAAGAGTCTCTGTACTCCGTACAGCACCAACATGATGGGGCCCAGATCTCATTGTAATACAAACCATGACTAAACCAAGGGGCTTAATAACGGTGATATACTGTACGTTAAGCATTAAGATGGGGGCATCGGCCAGTAGTAGCTGAGGCAAGAATGTTGCAAGGCCCTTATGGAATGAATAACGTGAACAATTCTGGATGAGCTGTAATACTAAGACAAGCTCTGTAGGGAACCTGGCACATTCTTATTTTTCACAGCTAACTGGAAATTAAAACTTTTTTTTTTTTTAATTATATAAAGGAACCGTTTTTACAATGAGCTTGGACTGCTCTGTCCTGATGCATTCCAAGCATCCTTCACCTCTGTTTTTTTTCATCATTTTCTGGCAGCTCTTCCAGGCCACTAATTCTCCCGGATTTCCTGCTGTACAAATACCCTTTCTTTCCCTGATTATGGCATAGCATTAAACGCAAGTGTGCACCGTCAGGAGGGATGTGCCGAGCTCTCCATTACAATCTCTTCGTCGCCTAGTAGAAAACTTGTGTTTCCTGATTCCACACCACATTGTAATTCAATCAGAGGAACTGCTGATGGAAGTTCACTCAGCTTATGAATGGCAGGAAAACGTGAGTTACAGTTGCATTCAATTAGATCTTCCACTGCCGAAAGCGGATCCTCGCTTGCAAGGATTTTATTTTTAATGCAGTTTACAGTGATGCTGAAAAATGTCTGGAATTCAGAGTCCAGAAAATAGGCGGCAAAGCACAACTGTTGGAATTTTGCTGATTAGCCTTCATTTAGGAAATGATGTAGATTGGGGACTGTCCAGCGCTCTTCCTGTTGAAGACGATTTCTCTATTGTGTAGCTTTTATTTTTGCCCTTCTCCTTTTTGCAGTGAAGAAATTTGCCAGTGGACTCGCTGCTGTTACCTGAAAGCTGTAACCATGATTGTGAGCCTAAGCTGTCTTTGGGGCATGCCCATCAGGGCTTGGATGGACACCAGGGACCATGAGGCGTTGACCTGAATCAGAGCATGACTCCCGCCCCAGCAGTGGCTAGAATCAAATGTTTTATGGGAAAGTGGGCCCCTGTAGTGCTCCTACCCAACTGTGCAGCGTTGAAGAGTGGAAGAGGGGAGTGGGATTCCTACCCAGTGCTTGTAGACACATAACTCATTTCCCTGAAGGATGGTTGCTCTTATCCTTTCCTTTGCCTTAATGTTATTTTTAGATATGCATGCAAATGCAATTCACTCCTTCTCCTAAACCTAATCACGTTGTTCTCAACATAAGGTTGTATTTCAGCATGGCTGGAAACAGGGAAATTGCTTGTAAGGCCTCTCCTTCTCTAGCTGCTGCCCTTTTGCCAAGGATCTTCAAACGAGAGGGAAATGCTGCAGTTGGTAAATCACCCTAGCCTTCATCAGTTCGCGAGTCGTCTGGTTCTGTTTCACCCCCATGATGCCGACGATGGGGTTCAGTGCTTGCCGCCCATGTGAAAGAGAAACTGCACGACTAATGGAGCCACAAGACACACTCTGAACTTCACTGGTGTAAATCAGGCGCTGAAACCATTCAGCTCCACTGTGTGGTTTTGGGGCTTATGTCAGTGTATCTACCTTGGAAACATAATCTGCCAAACAGACCCTGCTAAGCTTGAAGGTGCGCTTCCAAGGAATCTGTTGCAAACCTGAAGTTTTAATGCTTCGGCCTTCTCCTCCAGCTTTTCCCTGGCTTTTTACTCATTCTGTGGATTATTTAATAAACCTTAAAACCTGCCCTTTTGCCAGAAATTAGTCTTGGTTCGTTATGTTTTACAGCATCAAGTTTTAGAAATAGACAAGTGATAGAAATATCGCTTCCTGTGCTGTTTAGATAGCACCAATCACTGCAGTATTTGGAGACTGATTTTTCTCTTTCTCTTTGCTCAAAAAGAACACACACACACACAAATTTAAAACAAAATCGAAACCCTATCGCCACCTGAGGCTGCACTCCAGTTTCCTGTATGTTTGTTAAAAGGAAACAAAGAATATTTAAAGACTAGTCACTCATTTGGGCGATTTCAAGGCTTGAAGTTCAGATATGGCTTAAAGAGTGTTCCTTTTCTGAAAAAGCAGGCTGACCCCCTCCAAAGCTGTGGTGGAAAGGGGTTGGGCTGGGCTTGCAAAGAGACTGGGAAAACATTGCTTGAAGAAAAGCAACACAACAGGTAGAAAGTTGATACAAGTGTGTTTTAAAGCAACTGAAGTGATTGTTTGGGTATTCAAAGAGCCCAATTAACTTTGTTTGAGATTGAGTGTGGTTGATAAAGTTAATAGTGTTGATGTAATATACTTTAAGGAGCTTAACTTTGTACCACATGACATTTTGATTTTAAAAAATGGAATGATATAAAATTAACATGGCGCACATTACATGGATTAAAAACTGGCTAACTGATAGGTCTCCCCATTTAAAATTACATGTTGAATCATTATCAAGCGACTGTGTTTCCAGACATGATGCTTAGTCCCTCACATGTAGCCTACATTACTCTTTTTCCTACCTGCTTTTGCAGTACTTGCCAGTGGGATGACTTCAATAATTGTTCACTTTCTGACGCTTCAGATCTTAAAGCACTTCCCAAAATTTGAACCATGACATTAGAAAAATGTAACGATTTTTGCAGTGCAACGCCTTGATCAAATTTCCAATTAGTTTCCCACAAAACCTCCCTAAACATATTCTACCCTTTCGTATTGGACATGAACCTGTAACTGCTTCACTTATAAACCTCTGTCCAGACAGACATTTAAATTGTTTTATTTAACTAAAACAACGTTATGTATTCTGGATTTTTTCTCCAACAGCAAACATATAATATTTTAACAAAACAAACATATACATTTTTGAATGTAGTTAAACATTCGTTTTTTTTAAATCAGGTTTGTTTTTGTTAAAATTGTTTTTAACTAAAATAGTTAAATGAAATATTTTAAAAAACAACAACAAAAATTAAATCAACTGTGTCAGCCAGGTCAACAAGAGAAACTTAAAATATTGGCTTCTGCAGCTAACTAAATCCTCTTCACCTTCATTTTCCTGTTTGTTCATAATCTGGAAAAGAAAAACAAGCTTTCCTGCTTTTTCAGGTCCTAAACAATTTCTCAATTTGGAATGAATTAGTCCAAAGGAAGAAAATATTCTTTCTACACTGGCAGAAGAAGCTACTGCTGTTAAAAGTGAGATGATCACTTCAACAGTCTTTGAATCCAAGTGCTTAAGTGACTTCCACCAGTTCACTAGTGTGACTTTCTTTAAAACATCGTCAGCAAACATATATTTCTTGAATGGTTCACCCTTAGCTCTGAAGTTTATTATAGGCTTGGTCTACACTAAACCCCCAAATCGAACTAAGGTACGCAACTTCAGCTACGTGAATAACGTAGCTGAAGTCGACGTACCTTAGTTCGAACTTACCGCTGTCCAGACCTGGCAGGCAGGCTCCCCCGTCGACTCCGCGTACTCCTCGCGGCGAGCAGGATTACCGGAGTCGACGGGGAGCACTTCTGAGTTCGATTTATCGCGTCCAGACAAGACGCGATAAATCGAACCCAGAAGTTCGATTGCCTGCCGCCGAACCAGCGCGGTAAGTATAGACAAGCCCATAGTTGGCATTATGGAGGGATGATTGCTGGATGTCCATATCATAGCCAACTCCTCTTCTTCAGCAGTTAAGGTTTGACCCTGTTACCAAGTATTGAGAATATTTGCAAGAAAATGAGCTGGAGATAGTGCTTGTCCCTTTTGGTTTTTTAATGCTTGTAATTTAACTCTGTCATTGCATTTTTCTCTTTTTAAGATCTCACTCAGTTCCTTCCAACTTTCAACAGCATCAGCCATAAAACAGCTATTTCTCTGCATTTTGTTCAAGGTTACAGAAATAGGCTTCAGGGTACTCTGCATGTGTTCAACATTTCTCTTAAGCCCAATGTTAAGAACTTTGGCTGTGACAGTGCCAGCTATTTTTTCACAATTTTGTTCACAAATTGTCACCAGACTAGGCCAGTTCTTAATATAGTGCTCAAAACAGTCCACTACTGAGTTCCATCGCATGTCTTGTGGGAGAGTTAGCTTGGTTCCTCCCACTTTTTTCAGAGCAGCTGCTGCAAAGTGGCTGTTACAGAAGTATTTTGCAATTTCAACAGGATTAGCCTTTATTTCTGGAACACTGAAGTCTTTGGCTAGGGGGTGCATCAAATGTGCACTGCAACCGTATGTTATTAGCTTGGGACTCTCGTCTAAATAATTCTCATCTTGGATACATTTGCAGAATTGTCTGACCAAGCTGCATACTACACATTTGAATTTTTTTCATAGTTTGTTATAGCTTTTACTGCTACTTCTTGTAAGTATTCTGCTGTGTGTGCATTTCCTGATGTATCAATTGTTTCTGTAAGGAAGACATTCCCTTCTTCTGTTGTCACACAAGCACATACAACAGGATCATTGTGGACATTGCTCCACCCATCAAGACTCAGGTTAACAATTTCACCCTCTAGACCTTTTGCACACTGCTCAATTTCTCTTTCATACACTTTATTGAGCAATTTGCCTGTGACATCTGCTCTGTTGGGTGGGCTGTATCTTGGTCTTAATGACTGAACCATGTTTATGAAGTGTGGGTGCTCAGTCATACGGAAAGGAGTTTGTTGCATAAACAAACCGGGCAATTTTTCATCAATGACTTCTTTTTGTAATCTGCTGGTTCTTATCACAAACTCATCTATGGTTGTTTCTGGATGATGGAGATTTTTTTCTTTTTCTTTTTGGTACTGTGGCTATGTGACATACATGATGTGACTGAAACACTATCATTGGCAGATAACTCTGAAACTATAGAAAATGATGGTGATCTTGAAGGTGGAGAGTCTTCAGAATCCTGTATGTTGAGGATGGATTTTCCTAAACAAAATAGTCAACGCAGTTATTTAATTATTATTACCATACTGCTCATTTAGTATTGCTCGTTGCATTCACTGACACTCAGTATTACTTTAAAGGTGAAATTGTAAAAGGAAGATCTGCCTATTTCAGCTATATTTTTTTTTATCACAACTGCATCTAAAATGATAGTGCCATAGAGTAACAACTAAATTTTTTGCTCAAACATGAGAATTCAAGAATAGTCCAGAAGGAAGACAGGCTGTCTTTAAGAAAGAAGTATGAAAGAAAAAAGTTTACCAACCTGAAGATCCTGCATGTTCAGACATGTTCCTTTGATAATCTTCAACGCAGCTTCCTCCTGAGAAGGAAGACGTCTCATGATGTTGTTTCATTCTGGCAACCAGGCCTTGCGTTTCTTTGTTGCACTGTTTGCATTTTGCACGCATGCCTGTCTTACCCACAGGTAGAGGAACGTAATTAAAATATTTCCAAACTGGGTCTCTTTTACGGCCTGCTGCCATTATAGGTTTTCCCTTCTAGTGAGAGAATGGTATGGAAGATCTCAAGTCAATGAGGGCTACACTCAGACCTCAAGACTTCTGGAATATGCTGCTCAAACAGTTTCACTTTTGTTTCTACGGCCTGTCCCTCCCTTCTCACATTTATCTCCAGACTTCTTCTCCATGTCCAGATCTATTCCACCCCCAACAGTCTTCTATTCATTAAACTTTCTGAAACTTTGCACATTTAGAGAGAGGTCAGGGATTGACTCTGTGTACACAAATTTGCAGAGGGACAATAGGGTTGAGGTCTGTTATTTCTCACGTCTATATATTATTCATTTATTTATTTAAAAACATTTTTGCTGTTAACAAGCATGTTATCTCTGGAGACACAAATCCACAGTTTGAGAACTACAAAACTAAGCGTCTCTGATGGTATCTTCTAGACTGAGCACTGAGTCCTATTGGGTAGATAGAAAGATTAACCTAAATAATCTATACAAAAGCCCTAGAATCCCATAAGATTGGGTCCCTAATCCATGAACTATTGGAACTCATTTACAAAACTTTTCTTAAACATTACATGAATATATTGTCTCATACTATAGAATTAGAATTTATAATCCCTATTCTATGATGAGATATCTTTGAGCTATAATGTATTTTAATTAAAGCTATCTTTAGGTTTTTCCTTAAAAAAAATCCATTTTTAAATTTAAAAAATCAGTTTATCCACCCTGGATTCTCACCTTGGCTTGTTTCACTTTGTGTAACCTCATTTCTTCTCTCTTCTCGATGATTCTCATTCCTTTCCTGTGCGCTAAGAAAAATGGTGGAAGCCTTTTGTTGATGCTGTCTTTTAAGGATCTTCTCATCTGTCTCGAGTCCTTTAGTGAGATGCCAAGAATCCAGTTGTAAGTTGGTAATTGCTGGGTCTGTCTGTATTGTTTTGTGATTCCTCCGTTCCCACGAGGGATTGGCAGGCCCATCCTGTAATGCTGGGGTGGTGTGGCAATACTATTTCTGTAGCTTTCTGCTCTACACAGGATTCTTAAATGCTAGTTAATCAGACCTCAACTATTTGGCAGCTCTGAGGAGCAGAGATGCTTTCTAACAGCAAATGCCCATGTCATTGTTCACGCAGTCTGAGGCCTCTAGTGGGAAGAGGCAGTATTTCAGGTCAGTGCTCATTCATTTGAACATGAGGCAGGATTTGCCAAAAATGTGCTGTATATGAGATTACAGTCTCCATTGGGAGCTGAGCAGAGACCACAAAACTCATTTTATTTGGAACATTGACATCCCTCTGAGTGCAGTGAAATTCAGTACTTCTGGCGATGGATTGCAACATTC